TATATATATCATCTGCGTTTGTTGCCATTTTTTAGGTCCAAAAGTTGCCAAAAGTTGCCATAAAAATGGCAGAAGTTGCCAAAGAAGTTGCCATTAATTTTCAAGCTTTTAACTCTCTGTGACGACGTATATAATATAGCAATATATTGATAGAGATAACTTTATCTAAAACACCAGAATTTCTTGTACGGTACTCTGTTTTAAGCATCCAGAATAGCTTTTGCAGCCTCACAGAGTGTTTAGTTTTAGTAGAGGTTTTACGGCGCTCGCAACAGCATAAGGTCATATGAGCGCCAGATTAGAGGTGTTATAAGAGAGTAACAAACAAAACCAAAAAAATAAAAATAAAAGAAGGGGAGATAAGGACGATAGAATGTTTCATTGGAAAGAAGAAGCAAACCACACCAGAGCACCGCCAACCACCCACACACAGTGTGTAAAAACGTGAAAAATAAAGGTTTCACAACAGAATGAAATCAAAATTAGAACAGCAAATAAACAGCCACAAAAATTAACAAATAAGGGACGTGTGTCAACCCATCCATAGACTGGCCGTTTTAACCCTTAACGCGTGTAATTCAAGAAAAAGTACATGATCTAACATGTAGATCATGGAATCACACACAAGGGGCCTGCCAGTGTCAGTGTTCGTTTTTGGTGGAGACACGCTGTGACATAACTATAACTTAATTATAACACATTTTTTAAAAATGGTAGGAAGAACACTACGCTATATAAACACATAACAAACAACACATCAGAACAATAAAGAGGAAAAAAATTTAACACACCAACTAAAAAAAACACAACAAAGAGAGAAACATGAAAGAGACACAGCAATATAAATAGTATGTAATGTATAGCCTACTTATGTTCTTCACATGAAAATTACAAATCAACGTAGTGTTAACAAGTGAGAAAGAGAAAGAGACGAAGTAATGCGAAAGTGAAAATATAGAGGTTTGGTTTCTTTTTTAAAAGAATATTATTCCCAGTTTTTGTTGTTGTTGTTGTTTTTAAATTATTTTTTCTTCCCGGCGGTGATTTTTCGTTGGAAAAAGTTTATGCAAAAATCGCGACCGCAATTCGCAGACCCAAAAATGCCAAAAATCGCAGCCGCGATTTGGAGGTCGCGACAAACGCAGATGCTAGATGTATTTTTTAAAAATTCAACCGACAGATTTTTAGTATAACATCTTCTCTCCATTCTATGAAAATTTCATGAAGATTGGAAGAAAATTGGTGGAGTTATTTTTTAAAAAGTATAGGGAAAAAAAGTCGCGTTTTGAGAAAACGTCCGATAAAGAAAAAAACATTGACTTTCTGAGGAAATGATGGTGACAAATATGCTCGGTATGGGAAGAAATGAGGGGGGGGGGGGGGGGGTGGTTGTTGTTTTTTTTTTTTTTTTGGGGGGGGGGTTCTTTCGCTATGAAATAGTTGTAGGAGAGGCTGAGGAAGCTAAAAATGCCTACAGCTCAAATTCAATAATTTTAAGCCGAATCGGGACTTTGGGGGTGTAGCCCCCCACCCCCCTTTTAAGCGAATTCAACACAAGCGGACTCGACTGTACACTGTACATAATAATAATATGTATACTTTCTTCACGATTGACCTGACTATTTTGTTTATTGTCCCAGACCCCAGAAGCTATAAGGAACTCAGCCAGCCAGTGATTAGAATTGAAAAATGATTGTAAATGAGTTGTTCGTTGTGGGGGGGTTTTTCACGCCCCCATCGACGCGACAAGTTACTTGGTGTAGAAGCCGGGGTGCTTCGCCAGTGTCTGTCTGTGTCAGGGCCAACTCGAGGCTCGGGGTATAATTGGGAAACAGACACTTGGGGATATTTGATTTTTTTTTCGCAAGAGGTTTACGGCACGCAAGAGGTTTACGGCACTTGCAACACATTATATATACTTACTTACTTACTACCCATTGCGCCTTATGGAGTTTAGGGCAACAACAAAGGATCTCCAGCTCTGTCTGTTTTGGGAGGGCCATCTTGGTCAACGTCCCCCACGACTGGTTCCAGGATTTCATTTCAGACTCTACTGTGCGTCTCCGGGTCACTTCGGGTCTGCCCCTCTTGCAACACATTAAGGTCATACTATAAGTGCCGAAGATAAGAGATGTCATAAGGGAGTAACAAACACAAAAAAGAAGGAGGGGAGATAAAGATATTTGATAGGAAAGAAGGAGCAAACCACACCAGAGCACCCGCCAACCACCCACATACTCGATTTTTAAAAAATATTTTAAAAACCCAACAAAACAACAACAAAATAAAAACAAAATGAAACAAAACAAAACATACCCAAGGATGAAACGAGTTGAGGCTGGCATCAAACAACAAGGCCAACCTTTTGCACAATATAGGACAACAGGAAGAAAAAGTAGAGATTTCACTAGTCAGTAGTTCGGGAAATATTAGGAGACTCCAGCACAATATATATTTCCAGAAACAAGTATGGACAACATCCAAGTGAAGAGAAGCGCACCGACAAAAGAAAAGCTATTTATAGCAGAGTAAAACAGACAGACAAAAACAAAAAACATAAGGTAAGAAAAGAAGTATAGGACATTTCAGTGGCACCCTCCAATCACCCACCAATCTGAAAAACCATAAATTCTAGAGCTAGGACTCTAAAAACAATTACTCTTCACTCTCTGTATTCAATTGTAAATAAGTCATATTTATTTTCTTTCACAAAGTCATTATGTTGTAACAGTCATAGGCCTGTTGGACCATAAACATAACCTTCAAGTACACACATTAACTATACACATTTACTGATTTACACTCACACGTAGTAACTACATGTATCATTTACACGTATGTGTATCTTACAACATTCATTTACACGTACATGTATAAACTAAAAACATTCATTTTCACATGCATATGTATAAACTAAACACATTCGTTCACACATAGTTTAATATATACTTTCATTTACATGTACATGCATACACTGAAAACATTCAATTACACGCACATTGTATAAACTGAAAACATTCATTTACACATACATGAATAAACTAAAAAGCTTTCATTTACATGTACATACATGCTACTAACGAGGACCCTGAAAATCAACCATAAGCCAAAATGAAATTTAAATTATTATGCTGAATGAAACAACATGTACATTGGACTTCGCAGGAAATAAACTCTGACTGAAAGATCTATTTTTGGGTGTACGAGCGTACTTTTTATAGGCCTGAGGATTACTCTTTTTCCATGCGTATCCACTGACCATATCCGAGACAAGGCGGTAAACATACAAACTTGCTTAAATTTTTCAATACTTACATTGGTGTTCTTCGTTAGTCTCCTTACCATCGCCTTTTTAAAAAAAAGTATATTGTGCGTATGTAGAATAGAGTCTGCGAATTGTTTGAATTCGGGTTTGGGTAAATACATGCACACGAGTACAACAATAGCGATCATTTAGTGAGGTTTTGTTTTTGTATTAGTTAATGAGACATTTTCTGAGCACATAGCGGCAGTGTATTACTTTGACACGCAGTACAAAAATACATCTGAGTTTCACCATGCACCAAACATTTATGCCTCAGAAAATTGTTTTTAAAAAATAATAATAGAAAATCACAATACAATGTACCCTTCATGCATATGTATAATATTACGACCCTCCCCCTCGAACCACACACACACACACACACACACACACACACACACACACACACACATATCCACATGTATAATATTATACAATGAAGTTTGGAAGAGACACGTTTACAGTAAGTATACAAGTTTTCAGTTCGTATTCACAAAGGAAAAATAAGAATATAAAAAGAAAGTATTAAGTACAAATATATCTGAAGTCCTTCCTCACAAGTAAAGTGTTGCAAAAATATTATTCGATAACGCTCAGTGAATATCTTGATTTGTTAGTTTTAGTAAGGTTTTACAGCACTCACAACTGCATAAATAAGGTCAAATGAGCGTCAAGGGGTGGATGTCAGCCTCTCTAGTCTGAACAGCACAAAGTCTGCTTCGACTATTAAGGCATCCCGGAAATAGCAGTTCACAAGAGAGTGACAGACATGCAAAAGAAGTAGAGGAAAAATGATGATACTAAGGATGAGGAAAGAAAAAGCAGCAGTTCGCCTCTATGTTGCTCCAGCACAGTATGAGCATGACATTGATAAATCAATTCTACTGTGCATAAGAACATGTTAATATCCCCCCTTTGGGAATAGCGTAAAGACAAATTCAGTCAGTAGCATTGCCATGGGGGGAGGGGGAGGGGTAACTTAACTTTCTTTCACATCATTCACAAGTTTTAAAAAACAACAAATAAACAATAAAAACCAACATATCAACAAAATGGTGATTGCATAAAAGTGAGTCAACATAAGTGCAAGGGGACAGGCAAGAAAAAATAGGGAAATAAGAAAACAGACCAACTAGGGCACCTTTCAGCCACCCACATAAATACATTTTCCTGTGTATAATACACAAAAAAGATCTCAACAAACAATATACAATTGAGGATATATGCACAAAGACATAAAGATAATATCAGTTTGGTGTTTCATTTTCTCTCCACTGTTCGGTTATAATCTTTTATTACATTTTGAAAGGTCTCAGCACACATTCTTCAACTTTTTATACATTAGACCTTCTACTTACAATTTCATTACATTGTACATCTTCGTCTGTTTCTAGTTTAATATTTATTGACCAGCTAATCGACATATTTCTATTAGAATATAGCATGTTCTAGCAGTTTAATTTCTTTTTTACTGTGTGTTCAATTCCTCACTACATCCAAACCCATTTTCTTGTTTGTTTTATTTGAGTGCAGAGAAGCACATCAACACAATAAAGAAGGGTCATTTAGTGCTGGGAAAAAGTCAGACGGACAGACAAATAAAACAGAGGGAAGTTTCAGAAATAGGACCTACAAGTACAAGTGGCATCTTCCAACCACCCGCACATATCTTCTCTCTGCCCCAAAACTTAAAAGACACTGTGAGCAAAAGAACACACTGGGGAGTACACTCTGGCTGACGGGAAACCCTACAAACATTTTCTCGGGCCACCACTTCAGTAGGAACTGACGCTATTTCATGAACACAAGTTGGAATTGGAAGATGGCTTTTATTTAGAAACTGACAGTACAAGACTCTACGAGTAAAAACAAGAGTACTAGTATAGAAGGTCTTGAACGGTGTAAATTAGTGTAATGGATAACATCCCCTCACATTCCAGATCACACTAGACTCTGAATTTCTCAACAAGTAAAATTACTACAACATTGTTAAAATAAAAGATCCTCGTGTTCCTGACTAAAATTGATTAAAATCCAGCGGGTGGACACAACTATTGCCAAATGCCAACAGAAAGTAAGTGAGGACAATAGCAACACTGAAAAAAAAGAAGGGGTAGACCACAACCAAATGGCAACCAATCATCTACTTTAAGGTTACAGAGGAAGAAAGAATCAAATCACTCAGTGACAAGATGACCGATCTTTACTTACAAACAGACCAAACAATGACATAACTTTATTTTAAATAAATAGATTATGCCTCTGACAGCATGGAAAAGTAGAAATAAGGAGAATTTCAACTTCAACCCTTACCCTTACATAATTGTCTTGGGTCAAATTTCTTACATTGACTCTTTCACAACTAAAACAACATATCACTTTTTTCCCCAAAAAACAATCTCAATTAAAAAAACGAAACTTAAAGCCCTTCACAAAAATTCAAATATAACACTCAGAAAACAAACAGGCTCAGTCTTTTATTTCTACTGCATTATTAATACACAAAAGTAAAACAGCAGAGAGGCTTTCCAAATATTGTTCAAAAGAACTGGCCCCTAGGGGTTTGTTTAAAAATTTGAGCTGGTCAAGCATGCGTCAAAGTTTTTTCCTGCACATACAGTCAATCAACTTTATATTAACAGGTTTACCAAAAAACGCTCAAGGACGTCTACAGTCAAATCTGCTCTTACAGACAAATGTCCAAGACGATCACCTGTACAAACAATCATTTCCCTCCCCCTTGCATTTTCTATACATAATGCCAGTTTCCAAGACGACTACCTAATCACCCTGACAATGGGTGGGCATCTTAGACAATTTCCATGGTATATTTCTCCATCTTCACCCATCCTCCACACATTTAACATTCCCAAGGACACATTTGGCAAATGAAATTTGAGACAGCTGGCTCAAGCTGGTGGCATGAAGTATACGTAAAGTGTTATATATACATACACACACACACACACACAAACACATATATGTAATATACATATAT